GTGAAAATGCAGGGACTGGGGAAATACATTCTCCTTGCTCCTCGGGGTGGGTGTGCACATGTGCTTCTGCTTTCTGCAGTGCTTTCACCACTGTGAGAAGAGATTCAGCATCACCAAAAGACTGACCATTACAGAGCAGGGCTGTGTGTGCTCCCTGGTCAGGTACAGCCCGTGCCTGGAGAGCCAGTTTGGACTGGGTAGCACTGGGAGACCAGGAGAACTGTTCAGAGCATCTCTGTGGGTTGATGAGCTTGCTTTGTCCACTCCCTGCTGCACTGGCTTTCCCACAGCTTCTCTCTTAGTGTGCAGGGAACTTGGGTGGAGGTTCCCGGCCAAGCTCAGTGGCTGCCCCCAGTTACACCCAGCAGGGACTGTGCTCCCAGTGCCTGCACAGGGGGGCTCTGACACCTTCTACTCTCACATCAGGCCGCTGTCTGGCCCTGCTCCTTCTTCAAAAGTAGAAGATACGTATCAAACCAGCATTTCTATTATTGCTAACCTCAGAAATGGCAATTTAGCGGGGGATTGAGAGGTAGGATAGAGAAAAGTGCTGTTCTATCTAAACCTGTTGTGGTACAACTGCAGGTACATCTTCAAGGCTGGAGGTCACTGGGTTCTCATGCAGATGTTGTCCTCTACAGTGCTCTGAATTCATTCTCTTTATTGCTTTTTGTTTATAAATGGCTGCCTCTTTTTGTTCAGTGAACATTTGACAGAGTGCTGTTGCTGCTGCAGTATCTCTTCCACATGTGCACACCTCCTGCACGTCTCTGGGGCAACCTTCACACAGAAAGGTGGTGTCTGTGTGAAGTCCTTGAAGGAAAGTGCCTCCTGTCACCTCTGCCTACCTAGAATAAGCTTTCTGGTTCAGCACTGAAATGAAACCATCTGGAAAAAGAATCTCCCAATAAAAGACTCCCCTTAATTTAAAGAAGTTGCACATTTAAAATGTCTAGATCTTCTGTGGGAACACGCTGGTTTCATCAACATTTTTGAGTAATGTGACTGAACACTTTTAATCAAGTCAACATTCTTCCTTTTAGTTTTATGTTATGGCTTTGATTGAAGTAAATCACTCAGAGTACATTGTTTTGCAAAAATGTCAGAATTTATAACTTTTTGGCCCCAAATTGAATTGAAATAAGCATCTTGAAATCTTGTTTTCTTCCCCTGCCAGGAGACAGGAATATGATGTTTTTCAGCCAGGACTAGTTACAATTTTGATGGCTGCTGCTGTTAAGCCTTGGATGTCCCATGACACAGATACTGGTTTAGTCTGCAAAGTGAAGCATTGTCCTTTCCTTTTCCAGGAAGATGTGTGCCTGGAGTTCGTGCTCATTTGGACTCTTACTTTTTTAAGCAGGTTTTCCATAAGGTGTCTTTGCATTTCCTGGGAATAATTTTTAAAGGGTCTAAGGAACTATAGTGGTCTGACTATCCTCTGCTGCTGGTTTACCTCACAGGTTTGCTTCTGCAGGCTTTGAGGGACTCAGTCTTAATCCATTGCCCCTCCCTTGCTCAGGACACACTGTGTGCACAGGAATGGCAACAACTGCTTTAATAGCAGCCCAGTAAAACCCAGTAAACCCAAGAAGATTAGATATTGAACCAGAGGAGAGGAGGATATACAGGTTAGCAAACTCCACAAAGGACATTAATGGGAGCCTTCTGGGTCATGAAGCAGTGCATGAGGGCTGGTGTGGGTGGCATTTGGGTTACCTTGCTCTAGAGCTCTGTAAAGCTTTCAACAGAGCCTTTGAAAGACCTTTATTTTAGGTGTGCAGGGCTTAATTTGTTGTGGCATCTCCCTCAGTGGAGCAGCAAAAGGCAGTGACATTGTAAGAGTGGGTGAAGGACATTGGTGAGAGCAGAAAGACCCAATTCTCATTAAAGTGAAGCCCTTGTTTATCACCCTAGTTGCGTAAAAGGACATTAAGGGAAGTATTAAAATCGTTAATGGAGGCAAATTATTGCAATAACATCTGCTGCATTAAACTCCCCTATCCTTCAGGAAGAGTGTATTTTTATTTAAAGGTTTAGACACCTTTATTTACAGCTCCAGCTTTTGATGCCATCACCAGGTAAAGAGCTGCTGTCTCCAGAGTCATCCCAGCACTAGGGAGGGGTGTGGATGCACATGGGCTGCACGGGCTGGCAGGAGCACAGCCCCTGTTTGGAGGGATGGGTTGTCTCAGTGGGGCTCAGCAGTCCTGTCTGTGCTCTTTGCTCAAAGCTGCTTTTCTCTGTGCCTAAAGCAGAGGCTGTTTCTTTGATATGCAAGTTTGTGCGTTGGGGGGAGTGATGGGTGTGGGGAACAGATGGAGAAAGCACAGGGAAAACAGTGGTTTACAGGAATAAAAAGAGGTGCTTTTGTTGGAGTCATTACACCAGAAACAAGGAGCCTCTGATGAAGGGAAGTGAGCCTGAGGGTAGGGAAGGTTGTGGTGTTGACAGAGAAAGGGTTTGTAAGGATTTCAGCCTTATCAGCTTAGCTTGAAAACCCAGAAGCTGAGGGATGTGGAAATGGTGGGAAGACAAAGGGCACAGGGGGACTGAACAGGGCACTGAGCAGAAAGTGTGAGAGGTGGGAGCAGGGACAGGACTTGCCAAGAGCTCTCTGGGCCTCTCTGTGGGCGAGAGGCAAGGGAACAAGGGAACAGAGGAAATGCTGGAGGTGACCTGGACAAGCAAACAAACCCTTGGACAGAAAGGGGTGTACGGGAGGGGGGCAGGAGGTGACTGTCCAGGGGAGGGCAGTGGAACAGCTCCTTTCACAAAGGCAGGACTGCCCCTGGGTAACCCCTCAGCTGCCCCTGAACGTGCTACATGTGAGTTCTGACCGGCTTCCTGCACAGGGGATCACTGAGGTTTCTTGTCAGGAGTTCAGGTTTATGCCTGAGGAGTTTTGGGAAACCCGAATGTCCAAGCAGGGCAGACAAGCACAGCTCCCAGGGGTGCCCTGATGGTCCCCTTGAGCTGCTGGGCTGTGCTGCCCCGGGGCAGCAGGAGCTGACTGGGCTGAAGGGGGTGATGGCACAAGCTCCCCCTTCACATGTGCCCCGCCTTTGTGCACACACAGACGGGCCAAACGTGGGGCTGGGACACCCAAACAGGACGCTGGGGCTCTCTAATCCTGGGAATCCTACTGTGGGAGAGGGAATATGGGCCAGGGGAGAGCTGAGCTCAGCTGCTCCCACCGTGGAGTTTGACCAAGGGACATATATGTGCTGCAGCACTGAAGCCAGGAGGTACCAGTGAGCGGGGATGACAAAATCCTGCTGTGAAGCACAGAAGTTATCTGTATTTGTCCTTCTATTCACTGTTTCCCAGCTGAAGTGATGCAACAATTACAAATTTGGCTTACCTGGAAAAGCTGCTGAAAGTAGGATAAATTATTAATTCCCAGGCTGGGTTCTGAAGAATTAGTTTCAGCACCACATATTGAAAATTCGTCTTCATAAGAAACAGCCCCATTTTGAGAACAGTTCTGAAACAGTGAGACTCTTGCAAGCCATTACTGTATTTTTTGACAATTTTATTTTTCCTTCAATCACTATCCTTAGCACATTCAGCAAATATACTGAAATTAGGAATAGGAAACCTACATTTGTAAGAATTATATCTCCGTGCAATGTAGTGAAGTAATTGAAATTCCAGGGTAGAACTGTGGAAATTCTTAGCACAGTTTGTCCATATCTTATCAGAACAGGCACGCTTTTCCCATGGCCTGGCCACGTGCCAGCAGGGATGGAGCAGACTGGTTGGAAGCCCACTTTGAATGGGCCAAGTAATCTTTCTGAATGGATTTTCTGGCAGCATTCCTGTTGCATGTGTGGTTTATTGTTCTTGGGGATGTGACTGTATTTTACCCCCCAGATAAATGTTTTAGGGTCATTATTCTTTTGATGATGGGAGGGGTTCTGGAAAAACAATCAGATCACTAGTCCTATAAAAATTCTATAGGCAGTTTGTTGTTGTTGTTGTTGTTGTAAGTGGTTTTCCATGTTTTTGAGCATAATTTTGATGTAAAGGACAACAGCTGATTCACTCTTAAACTTTTCTAAGGTCAAAGGGTTTAGTAATTAAAAAGCAAACCGTTTTCTTCAAGGCATTTTAATAAAGTGATATTATGCCAATTTATTTATATATAAATATATATATGTATATATTCTCTTCATAGTTCACTATAAAGTACTGCTGGTGTTGTCAATACTAAAAGAAGTGGTTGCCAGTGGTGGCAGATCCTCAGTTGGTGTCATTGTCCTCCAGTGAAGTCGGAGTCGATCCCTCTGTGCACCACAGTCCTGCTGTGGAGCTGTGCCAACCTCTGTGAGCGGAGAATCCGGCCCCTAACATGTATTACAGGATAGCTAATACGATGTGTAACCACAAAGTAACCACAATACACAAAGAAGTTCTATTTTAGCACTGCTGGAGCAAAGAAATAACTGTTAATGCTGGAGACTGACGTGCAAAAGATTGCTCAGTGGGGGAAGGAGGCAGAAAAAAGTCCTTATTTTGTATTAACATGTGTACAGACAAATTCTCACGTCTCAGGGCCAAGTTTTGTCTATAAAAATTCCTTAAGATTTGGGTATTTGTAATTAAAACATAAAGAATAATTATCTCAAGCTTGTATCTGCAGAGGAAGAACTGTGTATTTACTTATTCTCTGCCAAAAAAATCCTTTTAGCTAGGAAGATTAACAAAAAGGCATTGAAGTATAAAGGCCTTCTTTTTATTGAAAAATATATACATTTTGTCAACAGATTCAAAACAGAACAGTCCCAACTGTTTTTTCTTCCCTTCTTTTTCAAAATAGGGGTGGGGGAACCATGGAACTCCAAACTTAGTGCCTACAATGCTTGGAAGACATTAAGATTAATTTTGTCCTTCGGTTTCCAGATGTTGGATTTCGTCCCAACTTTTAAAGACCTCTAATGTTTAGCAGGATATGTGCCGAGTATAGTCTTTAACAGAGTTTTCTTTCATAACTCCAGGATCCATGAGAAAAGGTAACTCAGGAAACCGCTGCGGATTCGGAGCTGAACCTCCAGCCCTGCAGGAAAGCAGCCAGCGCTGAACGTGCGCGTTTGGACTGGAGCTGCGCTCGGGAAGAGGCGATGGCAGGGCGGCGGAGCTGCTGGAATGCCGCGCTCCTGGTGCTGCTGTGTGCGGGCAGTGCCCGGGCCCAGCGGGACTGCACGGGCGCCGAGTGCCCGGCCCTGGAGAACTGCATCGAGGAGGTGCTGGAGCCCGGCGGGTGCTGCGCCACGTGCCTGCAGCACGGCTGCACCTGCGAGGGCTACCAGTACTACGACTGCCTCAACGTGGGCTTCACCAACGGCAAGGTGCCCGAGGGACAGTCCTACTTCGTGGACTTCGGCAGCACCGAGTGCTCGTGCCCCAAGGGCGGCGGCAAGATCAGCTGCCAGTTCATGCTGTGCCCGGAGCTGCCCCCCAACTGCATCGACGCCGTGGTGCCGGCGGACGGGTGCCCGCAGTGCGGCAGGATCGGCTGCCTGCACGAGGGGCAGAAGTACGTGGCGGGGCACACCTTCCACATGCCCCCCTGCAAGGTGTGCCACTGCCCCAACGCCGGCGGGGAGCTCATGTGCTACCAGCTACCCGACTGCGACGCCTTCGCCCTGAACACGGCCAGCCCCGGGGACGCCGAGGACGGGGAGCCCGAGAGGCACTACGACGATCCCTACAGCTACGACCAGGAGGCGGCCGAGGGGGACAACACCCAGCTGGAGTCTCCCAAAAAGTACCGGAGTTACTCGTCCCACCTGGAGCAGGACAGCCAGGAGCAGGGGGAGGACTATGACTACCCGGCAGCCAGCGTGGCTCCATCGGTGCCGGCCCCGGCCCGTCCATCCCCCGAGGGGACGGTGCCCCCCAGCCCCGTGGTGCCCCAGGGCCCCGCTGAGGTGCGCGGTGCCACCGAGAGGGGCGAGAGGCGCAGGGTGCCCCGCACCACCGCGGCTTCCCTCCAGCAAGGGACGCACAGGGAGGCACCAGCAACCACCAGAGCTCCTGTGGAGCACACGACGGCCACCACTGAGACCCCCCAGCACCCGGAGGAGCTGGAGAGGAGACCAAAGGGGAAGCAAGGGAACAAAGAGAGGCGTGAGCAAGAAAGAGCCCCCCACTCTAAAATGAAAAAGCACGTCAGGAAAGAAGAGCCAGCAAATAGCATGTACCAGGGCTTGACAGAGGGGAATTTAACAGACCCGAGCTGGGCAAAGTCTTCCCCTGAAACCCTCGAGGGAAACGACTTCCCCAAGGTGAAGTTCAGTGCAACGACCTCTCCTCCTGTTGCTCTCCAGGAAGACCGCAGCCAGTCCTCCCCAAAGCAGTCCCAGACGCTGTATCGGTACCACCCCGAGGAGGACGGGGACCCCAACTCCATCCACGCCAACCCCAGGCTGCCAGAAGGTAAGAACTGCTCCCAGTCTGGGTGCCTGGGGAGCACTTACTCATAATAACATTGGGGCATCCACTGATGTGTTCTTGCTGCTGCACGTGGGCATGAAATCCAGCAAACCCCCACTCACCTTCTTTCGTCCCTTCAGGGGATGTTTGTGGTTCATGTCACATAACAGGTACCATTTCACTGTTGCCCACCTTGCTTTGATTTCACAAAGCATGGGGATGGTGTTTTCTGGTATTTTGACTTTATTTCAGATGATGATTTATTAAACTGTGACCTTTTCCTTCAATTACTTGCTTTTAATTTCTATCAAGATGTAATAGAAACATCTTCCTCTACACAAAAGGATTTAATTAGTTATCCTCAGTTACCAACTCAATGTAATCACATTTGTAGCTTTTGCTGCTTCTGGGAAGAAAGTGAAACAGTTGTGTTTCTACTATGAAAATATTTACAGCACTTGTTGTAATATTTATCCCGTGGTTGAAAGCCTGTCTAAGCTCATTAGTTCAAGAACTTCATAGATACACTCAAATACCCCTGAGGACTAGTAGGGAGAAAAAGAACTGCCTCTTGCTTTGTGTTTTTTGGGGCTGGAAGTTTATGGTGTTTGTGGAAAGTGTATGTGTCTCCTCCCTGCCTCTGGATTCCTCCTGACATCTGCAGGGAAAGTTGATTATATGCTTTATGCAGTGCTCATTACTGTAATGAATGCCAACTTCATCGCTGGAAATTAGCACATGTACAGCTCCTATTTCCAATTCATTTGTCATCAAATCAAGAGCAATACCTCCTTTTTCAAGATGTGGCACAAAATGTTCTCACGAGACTCAGCAGCAGAACACTTGCAGGAAATACTGATTAGTCCTTAGGCACTGATATTTCTCCCTGGTTGTGTAGGGAGCCCTTAAACATCTTGAGCTGTCGAGTCCATCTACTCAAGAAGTTTAAGGCAGATCGGAGGAGGAAGCAGATTTGGAACTGAGGCTCCAGGTCCCAACACAAGCAGCACCTCGTGACTGTTCACCAGGCAGTGGAAGTGGCAGCCTTTTCCTTTTCCTTTGACTCCCCTTTTATTTGTTGCAGCCACCTCAAAATCTGAGCTGAGCTGTGCACCAGTTCTGTGTGTGACACATGGGTCTGGGTTAGGACTAATATGCAATGACCTGTTTTCTGATGTAACTTAAAAAACCCAACTTCCTTAAACTAAGTTGCCTTTTCTTTTTCTTTTTCTTTCAAAAAGGAAAGATGGGTTCATGCTGAAATTATCACTGAGAGGCTTTAAGAAGGGCTATTGGGTGAGTGTTCAGCAGCAGAGCCAAGTGCTACGTTGGGTGATTTCCAGTCTGGGGTTCCTGGGAACTGCTTGGCTGAGACAGGTCTGGTTGGGGGCTGGGTTAGTTTGAGGTGCCTGGAGCAGAATGTGATGGATGTCACGTCAGGCAGGGATGTTTTAGCCAACAGAAGCAGGCCTGGGAATCACTGGATGCCATTTCCCCCTTAGCTGAGGTATCTATGATTTCCTTTATATATTGTAAAAGTAGAACTGAAAACAAATATCCCTTGGGAGCACAGAACTCTCTGGCTGTGGGTGATGCAGCTCTGAGGCTGCAGGTTCTCTGGCCCACAGAATTGCTGCATGTTCTGGGAGCAAGTGCCAGTGTCATCACACCATGTCCATCCAGTCACTGACAAGTGGGACCTGACCAGGCAGCCCCTCTTCCCCATCTGCTCCACCATTCCCATTAGGAATATTGGTGGAAACAGAACAGAGCCTTCTCCAAAACTCAGGGATCTCCCTTGCTGGTGGCAGTGCTCATGCCTGGGGATGGTGGTATTTCCACAGGTTTTGTTGTTTTAATGGATGTGGTTGTGACTCATGTGAGTAGATCCATACGTTTCAAGTAATAAAACACACACATCTTGTCTCTTCCTGAGCCAGTGGGAGAGGGGGAGTGAAGGTATTAGTCAGACTTGAAAGAAAAATTAACCTCGCCTACAGATATAGAATGAAAACATGGATTTTGCACATGTATTTCCAACTATAAAATGACAGAATCTACCAAAATTGCCAAATAACTTATTTTCTCCCATCAAGAGTCATCAGCAGGATGTAAACTGCATCAATGCCCTAATTTTTAGAGCCTGCAAGGCTGTTACGTTTTTTCCTAAGGAGGCTGCAGCCAGTGGCAGCGAGCACAGGTTTTATTTAACCAGTTCTCAGCAGAGTGCTGTGGGGACATTTCTGTGACTGTACAGACATTCTAGATATATTTTTATAGTTTCTTTTAGTTTTTGTTTCTCTCCAGAGTTTAGAAAAGTGTAGAAGTCTCCACAGAGGCGTTTGCACTAACAATTCAGCCCAAGTCATATGGCCATTGCATTTGTTCCTCCTATTACCTGCATCCTGTCTCCAGAACTCTGATGTGGTTGGATCCTGATGCTTTTTGTTAAAACCTTGGCTTCATTACTTGTGTTTTATGTATCTCACTTTGGTTTTACATGTAGTTGAGTTTTCATCTCCTAAATCTCTGCTGGCTCATATGTAATCTAATGGTGGAAACAACGTGGAGCACTTTGGTGCTCAGGAAAGGTTAGTTTTGTGTTTTGATTCTTTCTCCTTTTGAGCATCGTTTTTCATCTCTGTTTCATCTGAAACACTGCACTGTATTCACATCAGCCAGCCAAGATGATCTCTGTAGCATCTCCTCTCCTGGACTCCAGTGAATTGCCATTTGTTTGGGGAATGTTCTCCCCACTCCTTTGGCTGCTCTGAGCTTTGCTGGAGCAGCTGTTTTGTGGATTTTCTGGGTGCTGTGTGGGGCCAAGCCCTCTCTGGTGGCTCCCTGGGACAGCAGCAGCACCACTCGTGGTCCCCAGGGGGGTTGTCACAGAAATGGGCTCTTTTGGGAGCTGGTTTCTCTGGTTGCAAGGTGGGAAGTCCAGCACCAGCTCTGGAGGGCTGTGTGAGCCCAGGGGATGTTTTCCTGCCTCTGACAGGACCAGTGGCTGTTCCACAGGGGTTTCTGCCACCCTACCAGCCCACAGCACTGCCTGAGGGTGAAATATTTGTGTTCTACTCCATGTGTGAGGGCACTTGTCATAGGTCCCGAACACAGGCTGAAGAGCAACTTCCTTCAGCAGCACACAGCCCCTCTGGGGTTTCTGTGCAAATGCTAGTCACTCCATTCCTAAAGGAACTGGAAGTGTAAAGTAGAGGTAATTACTCAGCTGAGAAAGTGTAAATTAAGAACTCTCACCATGGGAAAGGATGAGATTAATGAAGACTGTTCTCTTTATACAGTCTCTCTCCAAACATTGATCTTACTCTGTCACTTACTGCAAGAGCAGCAGAGGGAGTTTTAATTTCCTATTTATTTCCTACTTCCTCATCCTAAAAGTGCTCTGAACAGAGGAGGGCTGACTAAAACATCTTTCAAGAAGTTACTGTCACGTTCTGTTATGATTCTTCCCCCTGTTTTCCATTTCCCTGTGCTCTGGCAGTAGAATGCTGTTCCTTGGATAAATGTTAACTCAGGTAGCAAGCAGTTTTGTAGTGAATGTTTTATGATTTGCATTCTGGTTTTTGGCAGGCTGAACAGCAGTTTGGGATCCAGAATGGAGGTACTTTTCCACTTTAACTCCTCCACGACTAATGACTTTTTTTTTATCGTGGTCATTTTTAGAGATAAGGATAATTGTTCTCCAACTGAAGTGAGTTGCACCAATTGTGAGCTGAGATCAGTGGATGTGAGAGTGGCACTTATTGCAGGTGAATCCTGATCAGGCAGCAGCTCCTGGGAGGCTCTTGTGTAACTTCTGAGGGTGTAGCTCAGATGTCAACCAACCCATCTGCTGCCTGTTTGCTGGTGTTGAAGCTCATGAGGCAGGATGACCTTGAATTCCCTAACTGACGACAAACAGGAAAGGAGATCCATGTGCAGGGCCAGGAGTTGGGCTTATGATCCTTGTGGGTTCCTTCCAACTCAGGATATTTTATGGTTCTGTGAAAGCAGACCTGCAGGGAGGGTTTCTGAAGCATTCCCTGAGCCCACCCACCCTCTGTCTCTCTTATTGCCACCATAAAAAGCACTGGAGGTGGGAGAATGCCATGGATGGTCCTTTGAAAACAAACTCTGTTTGCAATTACTTCTTATTTTTTGCTCTCAGGTGAAGTGTTCTCTCAGGTTCACCTGAATTATCTCAGGCTTAATCCCGTGTTCTCTCCTTTATCCCAGTTCTTTCTGTAACAGGAAGAAATCACCTTTGAGCCCTCAAACCAGGATATCTGAGGAATGAAAATAAACCTCAGGAGAGCGGTGTGTGAGGAGAAAAAGCCTCTGGGCTGGCAAGTGTGAGTCAGCATGAATGACAGCCCTGGGGTGACAGGGCTCAGTGGCTCCCTGATAGCTGAAGTTCAGAGATAGTAACATCCTAGAGGAAGACAGTGTGGATGGGAATAAAGCAGGCTGAGATACTTGCAGAGGAAGACTAAAATGCTATAAAAATTAAAAACTTTTTAAAGAGAGAACCACAAAATAGACCTACCTGGCCTGCCAAAAATGGCATTCATATTCTTAAGAGGCAGCTGGATGCTGGTTTAGGAGGAAAAGGAAAAAACTAAGGCATTTCTATTAATTCCAAAATCCCGTGTGTGGTATGTGGGGGCTGATTCCCTCATGGCTGCGAGTGCACAACCTTCCCTGCAGCCCTTCCCTTGTCCCCTCAGTGCTGTGACCCCTCCTGGTCCAGCTCTGCAGCCTGGTCGTGAATCCATGAGCAGCTCCTGCAGGGACCTCCCATGGACCACCTGGCAGATTAGTTTGTCTTCTTTCCAATATCTAAAAGCATAAGTAGGGCTGAGGTTGGACATCCAGATGACCTCGTTGTGGCCTTTTAGTACTTCAAGGAAGCTCTTAAAAAAGACGGAGAGCGACTTTTTACACGTGCAGATGGTGATGGGACAAGGGGGAATGGCTTTAAATTAAAAGAGGGCAGCTTTAGA